TAGCTAATAATAACGATTTCAAATATAGGCTGTTTTAAAAAATACAGCCCAGATTGGGTGCTTTCTTAAAATAATTCAGACCCGGCTTGGGTGTTTTTTTTAAAAATTTCGGGCCCGGCCCGGGTATATTTAAAAAGGATCTTTTGAATATTCATAGGCATTTGACGACAAGCAAGGGAGATAATTGATAAATTAGCTCAATCACAACGAAGATTGGATTTTACATTGTAATTATATAACATACAAAATGCAATTATTCCAGAAACTTTTTGTGTAAAGGCTCATAAAATTCAAATTTCTATTTTGGGTCATTTAAGTGATTCTTTACATATAATTTTTTTATAATTCACATTAATTTAAAATTGTGTATTAGAAATAGTTATTAGTCCTAATAAATTTATGCTTGATATATTTAAAAAACAATAATATTTCTTAAAAGATTTTATTATCCCCCTCCCCCCAGACCTAATTCCTGGATGAGATAGAACGATCTAATATGCGACAAAAGGCAGTTCATGATGAACACATTCAAGTGAGGGATTCGAGGTTTCACAACCTGTATGGATACATAATGAAATCAATTTATAGAGAGAAGGAATTATAAAATCCAGAACTGGTAGATATTCCTATTCAGTAGCAGGTAAAGATAGAACGATACGAAAGCATGTTTATCAACTGCGAAAACGGGATGTATAAAAAATTAGAATCGGGATAGAGAAAATATGGGTCGGAAATAGTTGAAAAGAAAAATGTGGAAGGACCACCTATAAAGGGAGAAAACGGTGAAACGGAAAAGACTGGTGAAAATTTGGGTTCATAGGATATGCTTAATTACCTCGAGAACTAAACAACAATGAGACAGAAATCACAACTATCTAGGAAGCTTACACATCGTCTGATTGAGGAGTTTTAAAATCTTATGTGTGAGGAAATGTGATAAGATAAATGCTATATAAGATATTATTATATTTCATATATTTTATATTACCATGATTATCATATAATGATTGACGTTTATAATGTGATTCTTGATAAGGCAACAAATAAAGTCACTGTGTTTTAGACTTTACCTTACACACAAAATTTATGTTTTTTTATATTATAAGGTTAAAAAATAATTTGCTTTAATTATGTTATCAATCGCTTTATCTTGGTCACCTATATTACTCAAAAAGCTTTCTCATTTGTAATTATATAAAATTAGTTTAACTAGTAAAGATTCTATAACTTTTGATATTTAAATATAATTAATAACGAAATATGGACTATGGCCTGGAAACCCATACATAATTAATTTGTTTTATAAAATTATGAAACTCGCATTACCAGATTTATTCAAAAAAGGTATTTGGATTCATATGAAAACAAATTATTTTATTATGATTATGGTTTAATTTCAATTCAGCTAAAAATTTATCGCGAATGTCGTTTATCGCGAATATATTTTGTAGCAAACTTTTATCACGAATCCACATTAAGGAATACAATCGGCGAAAACAATATTGCGGCGAATATCGCGAATCTTTTATAGCGAAATAATTATCGCGAAACTTTTAAAGAAAATACAATACATCAAAACTTTTTTCGCACATCAATAATCTCAAAAATTTTATAATGAAGTCAATATAGCGAAACCCAAATCGTGGAGACAATATAGCAAAAACCATTTCCTCGAAACATATATCGCTAAGATATTATAGCAAATTTAATATCGCGAGGTCAATAGTGACTATTTTATTTTGAAACATTTATATTTATGATCATATTAATTGAATAATATTCATAATACAAGATTGATTAATAATACTTTTTGATTTTCTTTTTACCTTAATAAATTTATATAATGAATATTAAACGCATTATAATAATATATAATTAATATGAAACAAAAGCACTCATTGGTACTAATAAATAAAATATGGACCTAATTTAGAATTGGTTCTAACAACTGTTCAGCCAAATTTAACGGCGATGATATTAAAATATATAAATCCTGACTACACCACTGGTTCTGAGTGACACATATAATAAAGTCGAAGCATATAAAGCTCGGAATAATTTAAAAACCATATATTGATTTACCAATCTTCATAATTTATATTATATTCCATTATATATTTTTTGACTCTTAATTTTCATTATTTGTAATTAATATCATTTCTGACCACATTGCCATTTGTCATTCCCAAACCCCACTCTCATCAACCGAAGTTTGGGCTAAAGGAAGCTCTAGTTTATGTAGTTTTGCAAGCTATAATAAATGGAATACATGCTTGCCACAAATTCTACCGTGTATCTCACGTTTAAACTAGTCATAAATATAAATAAGTGGCTAAATTTAGAAACAGGATTGAGCATATGAAAGACTGCATAATATTTTTAAGTATAAAATTTACAGAAGGAATAGCGTTCAAATATTCTCTTACAGTGAAATTAGATGAGCGAGGAAAATATAAAAGATAGTAGCTTTCGAAATTTATAAATGTCAATAGACAGGGTCTACATGACAGGATATTCACTGAAAGCAAACCCACCCCAAAGGCCTTTATTTATCCACTAAAAAAAATTATTACACGTTTTTATTTATAATGGTACACCCTTAATATATTTTTAAATTATCAATACTCTATTACCAACTATAAAAAGGTGAATGGAAAAGATTTATTATTTAGAACATGAATACTAAAAAACCCCTCATTTACAGAATGCAATGCATTATTATAGTATATTGCTTGGCATGAATATAAGTTTTCTGTTACAAAAAATTATTCAGCTATAAGTTTTATTTTAAAAATAATAACTGATTGTATGTAATATATAAATTTGGTTGATGTTTAGCAATGTTATTATATTATTATAATAGGCCTAAAATAAAAGTACTAAATAATTTTTTACAGCAATATATTTTGCCCAATTTTATCTAAAAATTTAATTGATAATCCCCTTCCCCCAATAAATTCATACTACATCTAGCCTACCCTTCCTCCTCTCTTAAATGCTTATTCGCTAAGGAATATATCCCCCCTCCTATCATGAAGACGCTTTTATAGTTAATAAAGTAGAATATAATAGTTAAAATTAGTGATGTTAAAGAACACGATTAAGATTTTAGCCAAAATAATATTATATAAGCCTGTAAATTTTGCTCATAGATGGCAGAAAGGTTTAGATCTCTATTTGTTAAATCTCGAGGTTTACTATTACCTTGACTAAAATCTTAATCGGACATTTTAACATTAGTATGGTAATTCGCAATGTACAATAGAAAAAGCACATGAACTGACAAATATAGCAAGCTTGCAGTTTTATTAAGTGCTTAGTTATCAATTGTCATGGTAGGACTAAATTGTTTGGACAATTATAACAAGTTATAAAATTTCGCGCGTTCAATCTCTGAAGAGGTATATTCATTGTTATCCCTTATCTGGACACAAGAATGTAAGGTTGGTGAAATCTATTAAAAATATTTTGTGTTGTTGGTATTGCGAACGATAAACCTTCAAATCAAAAACTTTGAAAAAGAACAAAATAAATGTATTTAACCATTATTTTATTTTGTAACGAATTTTTGGTTCTAAAATTACTTTTAATAAAATCTATTGTCTCAAAATTATAAATATTGGTTATTTATAATTTAATTCCTATTTTCTTAAAAATAATTGACCCCCTCCCGCCTTCTGATCTAAATACTAGATATGCCATAGCTTTAGAAAGGCTACCTGCTCAATATTACCAATTTTACAAAGTGTCTTGTTTAAATATCTCTTTTCCGTTTAATGGCGAAGAAGTTCGTTCGATACTTTCACTTAGAGCATTTTTAGTTTGACAAATTTCATGAATGTTGAAAATTAAAATTTACCATAATAAATGATAATGTTAATATTTTTCTTTACATAATGCAAATTTGGGCGGAATTAAATATTTGGTTTACAATAATAGAGGGGCATTATAGCTACATTGCTATCTGGTTAATATTTTTCTGTGAGAAATATGGCCTAGCGACACTATATCACGATGACACTTTATCACTCAGTCATTTGATAACGCGACACTTTATCATACGACAGTTGAACATGCGACATTTTATCAGCGACACTTTATCATGAAATACTTAAAACTTAATATAATATATTAGAAAAGTTAAATTTTGATAATATCTCATTTTTTGACTTTTACGTTTGAATTCCGATATTTAAAAAATTTTAATTAATTATTTTTGTATTTTTTTATTGAGGAAAACTCATATTTTAATTTTCATAAGTATAATTTATTTCTTAATTATCAAATCGAGCCGTTTAACAACACTAAGTTCCATCATTTTTCTTCTTTTTCATAAAAGTTTGAATTTTTGAAATTCAACTAATTTATTTGGACAAAAAAAATAAAGAACCTTTTATAATCTAATATTTTACGAAATACAATTTTTCATTTATTTTAGAATTTTATCTAGAAAGGCACCATTTTATTTATTTTATATTTAAAATCCAATTTCCGTTATATTTTATTTCCAAAATTTGTCAAATTTTTAGCCAAAAATATTTTTAAAATCAAAATTTTATGTCCTTTATAAAGAAACAGGAGACATAAACAATAAGAATGATTTCAATTTATACTTTTTATTAATAAGTAACTATAAATCAATATATCACGAGTAAAAAATATAAATTATTTACAAAAACACCATACTTAAATTTTCTTACGCAAGATAAAGTATTGTCGTGATAAAGTGTCGCAAGATAAAATGACGCGTGATAAAGTGACTGAGTGATAACGTGATAAAATGTCGTCGTGACAAAATGACTCCAAATCGAGACATATACTACAATTATCTATTTTTTTTATTTACTACATTATTAAATAATATACCTTTTTCTAAAATCTGCTACGTTTGAGGGAAGAGAAATTTTAAATAAGGGGAAACGTTTAAATCAGGAATATTTTTACGTAATAAGATTTCTATGGCCAGGAATTCTAAGCGGTAAAAGCGAGAAGATGCGCAATATAGGTTTATTGAATTTTTTAAAAATTATTATATCCATATCAACTGTACATATACTATATACATTTATACAAATAATTAAAATTAAAAATTTCTCTCTAAAATATCATTATTTATTTTTACACAATAAATCAATATCTTTGGCGGTTTGTTTGGACAATTTATGCACCAATTTCTTTCTTAGGTTTAATTCTTCGAGGATTAAAAACTCTCGCGTCTTCGCCTCTTTTATTTGCTTCTTCTGTATCCGTTTTATCCTTTCCCTTTCTTTCCGTTTCGCTTCTAATTGTTCTTCCATTTCTTTTTCTTCTAATTTATCCTTATTTTTAAATATAAATAATTTATAGCCGAAAAATTGTGACCATGGCATGTGGGCATTTATAATATAACTAACTACTTTAATATATAAAAATGATACTTAATTTTTTTTAATGAAGTCAGAGTGGAACTAGAACTCTATAATAAATATCAGAGATCTGCAGGCCCGGCCCGAAGCCCAGCCCGCGGGCCGTATACTTTAAATCGCCATTAGCTATAAATATTAAATTTCCGGGCCGGGCTTGGTCTAAAATCTTTTTTAAAAAAATCCAGGCCAGCCGTTCAAATGGTACTTCTGCAGGTCTCTAAACCTTCTTATGAAGGAGATTTCTAAATATATCTAATCCTAAACTTTGACTTTATTTTCAAAAAAAAATTGATCTTTAGAAGAATGTAACATGAAAATAAAATAATCAAATGTGATTTTTTTTAAAAAAATTCAAATTATTAATAATAATGTTGGCAAGAACGGACATACGTTTATTGCAGAGAAAAGGCTATTCAACAATCTTATTGACTCTAGTTTCCTTTGGGATAATAATAACTTTCTTTCCTCCATTAAGACTTTGTATTTTTTATATTTCTCCTTTTTGTGTTGATGCGAATGTTTTGATTTGGGTTTGGGGGAATTTATTATGGCATTTTTTGAGGAATCTTTGTCATTTACAAATGGTGATAAACTAGGAAAAGTTTTTGGTTCATTTTATGAAAAAATAAATAAATAATGTGCATACATAATAATATTTCAAATTAAAAAGTTAGTGCAATTTTGTAAATTTACAATATAACCAGTTTATATCCTCAGACAGGACCAAAAATTTAAAACCCGAAAAGTAGAAAGGCAACGTACATGAATGGGAGGTATGGACCTCTTATATATCTTTCAGGTGATAGGGAGTAAAAAATATTTTAGGGGATAAAAGGTAAATCAGGGCGTTTTAATTTCAAAATATCTCTCATGAAAACGCTGGCTATCATAACTTAAAAAAAAAATTTAAATGACACAAAGCTCACTGTTTATAATTTTTCTTTATTATCTAAATTTAAATGAATAAATATAACTTCAATTTTTAAACCAAGCGGGGCCTTTTAAAAAAATTCACAAGCCCGACGCAAGCCCAGTTTATTTTATTTTTTAGCCCATCCCAAGTGCTGGGGTTGGAGCAACCACCAGAAAAAAGGTCTCTATACTAAATATAATATAAATTTTAAAAAATTGTTTTTCTGTTATTTTTAAATTTTTTTGTAGATCCTTATTTTTTGTACTCGGAAAACCCAAACGATTAAAAGATTTACTCTTTTTTTGAACGAGGGTCTGGTTAAAACTGATCATGTGATTGACCAAAAGATTTAGAATTGATGAATAAAATATAATCAATATTTATGACATTATTGTATTTTGCTTTAAGTCTATTTTGAAAATAATAAAGAATAATTTAATTTAGATATTAAAATAAATATTTATTTTGATTGATTCATCTAAACCCAACCCGAAATCACTTAGAACCAAACTTGATTCATAATTTGATCTGGGTTTAGACCTAAAACGAACCTGGCCAAAATGTTTTGATAGTTTAAAGTCCTAAGGAAAAGTACCAAAGTCTTAAGAAAAGGTTAGATTAAAAAAGGTCAATCAAAGGAAAACTCCCAGGAAAAAAAGGAAGGGTTCATTAAATTTTTTTATCATATTTAAATAATCTTGAAACGTAATTTCGATGGCGTTTTTCATCAATTTTTGGTTATTTTTAACTATCTATCTTTTATTTATTTTAAGTCATTTAAATTTAATTTTTTTAAAAAATATGTAAGAAAAAATAACCAAAATTTTTTTTAAAAATGTATAAAAATGATATTTCAGGATGATTTAAAATGACAGAAATATAATAAAAAAATAACGATTTTCTTTTTTTGAATGGAATTTTTCTTTTATGATTGAACCTTTTCCTTTTTCGATCAGACCATTCTTACGACTTGGTGCTTTCATTTTGATTGATTTTTCCTTATTTTAATGGGAAACTATGTATCATTTAACACCAAAATAAATTACCTTGAAATTTTTGAATGAGGTTTATCTATATAATTTTCTTCAAATTTCTGCGGGCTTCTGTTTGAAGGCATGACAATTGGTATGGATTGTTTTTCATCTATAACATTCTCAATTTCATCAGAATTGACAATTAAATTTAACGAATCCTTTTCTATCAAAAGTTTTGCTTCATTTTTGCGTTTTGATATAGATAAGTCACTCAAATGTTTATTCCTATCAAAATCACACTATTTTATAAATTATTATAATATATTATGAGTAACGGTTGTCGAAAGCCTAGATCTGACGCTTTTTTTAAAAACGGCTAAATCAAGTCCCGAGATTTAACATATAGATGACAGAAAGGTATGCTCTTTCCAACTCTCGATGCTCAGATTATTTATTTTTTTTATTTAAATCATGATCGTGTTTTTTTAAAAAAAGGCTTTCGATAACATTAAATATAAGCTACAACAATATATTAAAACTTGTAATGACTCTTAAATATTTATATTTTTAAAAGAGTAAAATGAATAATTCTAAAAATTAATCTGTTTAAATCTATGAGAGAATTAATGTATTTATTATAACTGTCATTTTTTCTCCAGTATTTAATTTGATGCCAGTATTTTTAAGTAAAATTGTATCATTCTGATAACAAAATTGTCAGTATTTTATTAATTTTACTAGTAAAAATATTCTATCTATATCTCTTTAGTATAAAACTTTCAGTAAATAAATTCAAAAGATGCAGTTACCTTTCATCGTTAAAGGTTATACTAATTGAAATCATGGAAATTCAGCACATGGCCTTGATGGAATCCATCCTATATTTCTCCAGGACATTACTTCCCCCTCAATATGTTCTCAAACTTCCATTCTTTCCAAAATTATAAACTTTTGCAACAAAATCTTAAAAGGTGATGTGCCAACCTTTGTTTCCCCTATTCTTTTCGGTGCCAGGCTAATAGCCCTTCAAAAACCCAATAATGATTTAAGACCGATTGCAATTGGCTCGACCTTTCGTCGTTTAGTAGCTAAAATGATTTCCTCTCGAATAAAGCATGAAGCTTCAAATATACTAAGTCCTTTCCAACTTGGTGTTGGTATACCTGGCGGCTGTGAAGCTGTTGTTCATCTAACGAGAATACACTTAGAAACCCAGCCAACCAACGAATCTTTAGTCAAAATCGACTTCAACAATGCTTATAACACTCTTTCTCGGAATTCCTTTCTGAGCTCATCGAGTATTCTCTTTCCTGGTTACACTAAATTCTTTTATTCGTGCTATCAACAGCCTTCCACTCTCCAATTTGATACCTATAAAATTCCTTCGATTGAGGGCATACAACAGGGAGATCCTCTAGGTTCTTTATTTTTCTGTTTAGGGATCAATGAAATTGTTAAATCTATTAACGAGGCATGTTCATTATCATTGCATGCATGGTACATCGATGATGGAATCCTTTGTGGTCCAAACGACGAAATAAATAAAGCTGTAATGATAATCAAGGATGCAGGGCTATCCATTGGTCTATCAATCAACCATGAAAAATCAGAATTCATTCCAATTAATTCATCTGAAAACAATTTTCATAATTTCAAACAGATTACTCTGGAGGAATTATCTCACTTAGGTGCTCCCGTTGGTGGACACACAGCCATATCATCCTTCCTACAATCTACACTCGAAACCCTTAATGAGTTGGCTGACCTATTTTCCCTTCTCCCCTCTCATAAAGCCTTTTTTCTCCTGAAAAATTTCTTCAATATCCCAAAAATTCTTTACGCGCTCCGCTCTACCCCTATTTTTAAATTTCCCACTTCCTTAGGCATCTATGAAAATGGGATTAAAGTCCTAATTGAAAGTATCCTTAATCTAAAATTCAATGAATTAGCGTGGACACAAGCCACCCTTCCTACCAAGATGGGAGGACTAGGCATCAGATCCCCTTCCGACCTTGCCTTAACTGCCTTTATATCGAGCTGTCTTTTAACCAAAAATTTAGTCAATCCTAATTCCTTAAATTCTGATCCTTCCTTTGATAGTGCCATCATTGAATGGAAATCTCGATTCATTGCCGACCACCCAATTCTAGAAACGAACAAGCAGAAGGACTGGGATAAGCCCATTATTGCAAGCTGCCTCGAATCTCTCCTTTCCAGAATGCAATCATTGGACCGTCCCTTATTCTCCTCTCTGCTTAATGGTTCTGGACATGAGTTTCTCGAAGCCATTCCATCCGCGAACTTACAATTACAATTGACCCAAAATGAGCTAACTCATGCTATAGGCATCCGTTTAAATTGCTTAGTAACCCAACCCCACATCTGTGCCGGCTGCAGTTCTGCTGTTTTGAGTAATGGAAGGCATAGTCTACATTGTCGTTCATGTAAAGGCCGCATCGTTAGACATAACATTTGCAATTCTATAATTCTTAGAGCTCTGAGATCCGCTCAAATTCCTTCTATTCTCGAACCCTCTGGTCTTTTCAGATCTGATGAGAAACGCCCTGACGGGATCTCTCAAATTCCCTGGAAGCGAGGTCAATTCTTGGTCTGGGATTATTCTTGTATTGATCCATTGGCTCTTTCCAATCAATCCCTTAACATTCTGGAGAACAAGGAGCTTCTAAAAATTGCAAAATATTCAGAGATATCCCAATATCACTTATTCATTCCCATCATCTTGACTACCTTTGGGAATCGTGCTCTTTCTTTCTTCGAGGAACTTGGATCGCTAATCCGCAAACTAACTGATGAACCTCGTGAAGGCTTCTTCTTAAGACAAAGACTCGCAATTGCAATTCACAGGGCCAATTACATCAGCTTCATTGGCAGCCTCATCTCACATGATGATTAGAATATATTTTATATAATTTTAATCACCATAATGAAAATAAACATTAGTAGTTATATCTATTTACTTATTATACTTTTGTTTAAAAAAAATCTAATTAATTAATTTAAAAAGTGTATATTTTTTTATATGAAAAACAAACCCAAAATATATTTATTTTTTATATAAAATTTTCGAGAAGGTATGAGTAAAAACTTAAGTTACGACCTTGGTATTGTATTAGGGATGTAAAAAAAACGAAAACATAAAACAAAAAAAAGCGAAGAACAGGAGAAACAAACAAAAAACATGAAATTTTGAAGCACTTAAAAATTCAATTTACATAAAAAAGGTTGAGTATTTTTTAAAAAATTATCGAGTTATAAAATAATGATAATAATAAGAAATCAAAATATTGGCCGATTATATTTAAGATGATTGTGATAGGAATAAATTTCAATAAAAATCGTAATTATATTTCCCATAAGGATTGAAGTAGAATTTAAATTTAGGTTTTATAAAAAATCAAATTAAAAAGTAGTTTTTTCCATCATAAATAATTATCAGTGCATCTGATATTTTAATTTGTCAATAAAAACATATTTTTCACATAATTTTAATTAAATCAACATCAGGATGTTGCTCAAACCTAATGATAAAAACTCCATTATGCCATGTTAACCAACATTTTTCGTAGGGGTAGGGGTATCATATGACATTCATGGTAATGCATTGCTGGAGGGTGTAGGTTTTTTATCCTGTTTTTCTTATATATAATATGTTATTAAAGTATGTGTATACACTCATTTTTTAATATAAATAAACCAATAACTACATATGCCTAATAAACCCTTTTCCTAGGTTCTAGTCAAGGAAGTGGATAAAAAAAAATTATCCCAAGCTAGAGAGAAAAGTGATTTTTTTACTTGCATATTTTTATAATTACAAGTAATCACTAATATAAAAAAATATACATAATGAAAATATTATAAAAACTAAAATAAATAAGAAAGAAACTACCAGTCTTAAAAAAATTAATAAGATTCTTTAATAGGAGGCTTTCATTATAAATAAGGCTATTTCTTGCTAGTACAAAAATAGGTGATGGTACAATCAAGTCAAAGCCTATGACATAGGTAAGTTTATTGTTGAGATATAATCAATTTTATAGATATATAAAGATTATTTCTTATTATTTTAATATATCGTTGGTCTAGAATTGTAGTCCTCCACAACATTTTCAAAATTTTTGAGTTAGAAGTGGATAATAACTTATTTATTCCCAATATATATATAAATAAAAACTAGATTAAAAAATTATTAATTTTTGCCAAAGTTATTGTCAAAATTGATCAATAACTTTTTCCTATATTTTATTTTAAACTTTACTGTTGATTTTCTTATTTAAAACATTCAAAATTTTTGAATAAGAAATGGATGATAACTTATTTATTCCCAATATATATAAATAAAAGCTAGATTAAAAAATATTAATTTTTGTCAAAATTGATCAATAACTTTTTCCTATATTTTATTTTAAACTTTAATGTTGATTTTCTCATTTTATACAATTGCGCAAGTGGAGCACTCCTATTCTAGACTGGACATTATATATAAAGCAATTTGATTAAATAATATTGATTCAATTTTTACAATACCAATTTAAATAAATTTATTATTCTTTTTCAATAAATTATTTAGACTATCTAACTATTTCACTGATTGATTGAAAGAATGTCAAGAAACTCATGATCAGAGTCATTTATGAAAAGAGAATAATATATGACTGGTCAGATAATTGTATTCTGGAAAGAAGTGTTCAAGCAGCTCACAATTTATCCCAAATCTGCCTATTTGTTTCAGGTTGAGAATGATTAGGATTAATTCTGGACTTCCAATAAATAATAGACTCATCAAAGGAAAGATCAGGTTTATAAAATGGGCATTGACAATATTTTTTTAAATATACTATTAGATTGGATATGAAAGCAATTATTACTTAAAAAATTTTATTTTTTAACCAATCAAAAAATACTGACCAATTTTATATTTATATTTTAGCATTCATACTAAAGTAATAATTTTATACTGGCCAAAAATACTGAATTAATTATTCTAATTTATTATGATATCTTTACTTGAAATATAGAAGTGTAAAATTTTATTTTCCCTGAATCATGCAAAGAATTTTCTGTAGGAGATGGTGTGTATAATAATTTGCTGCCAACCAAGCCATCCATTGCTCTTTCAAAACTGTCATATTCATTGTATTGTACAAAAACATCAAATGTTAATGGAATAATTACATTGTCATTTTGATTTTTGGAATTGTCCAGAGTGCAATTAGATATGTATGCTGTATGGAAATTTGATGTTGAAAATGAGAAGGTATTTAATTGAAATGGATCATTATTAAAAGGGATGAAAACATCTCTAACAGGCCCAAATATAGAAAATGTTTTCTTTATTTCAGGTTCTAATAATTTTAAAAATTCATGATTCAATGTGATTTTAGGTATGAACCATTTAGTAGGAAGACCTTTTAATAGTACAGTGTCAGGTCTATGACCAGGTTTAGAATTAAAAAATAATCTTCGAAAACTATTGGGGTTATCTTTAGAAGATTTCTGATCCCATTTAAAATGAGATATCCAATTATTTCTTATATGTGAAATGTCATCATAATAGAAAGACTGATGGGAAAAGGAAGAGTTAATCAATAGATGATTATCAACATTAATATCTTTACATATATCTACATCACAAATTGAATTTTTTTTATTGTGATAAGCCGCTCTCACCTTTAATGGAATATTTACTCCTGACAGTTTAATAAATGAATAATTACTATTCTTAGAATTATTATATTTATTAATATCCAATTTTGGTAAATGGAGGTTATTAAGTTTGCCATTTAAAATATCAACAATTTTTAATGCATTTACTGAATCTTCTAATTCTGCTTCCAGATATAAGAATTCTAAAAAAAAATTATTATTTAAATAGAAATTACTTACATACCATTATCTGATGGAATGTCTTTGTAACATTGATTTATCAAAGGTTGAGACAGCTTTTTTATAATTTTAGGGTTTATATTATCAGATTTTACCATTTTGATAACTTTTAAGATTGTGAAGGTGTTAGGGGATATCATTGCTTTTAATTTTTCCATAATTTCCCAATTAGATATTGTCATACCTGATGATTTTACATGTGGAAACATAACTAGTATTTCTATTTTTGTTAGAGGCTTTAAATATAAGCCTAATTGTGGGTTTAAATGAAAAAGATTGGAAATATCTTGACAAACCGAAACGCCTGCCATTTTCTTTGGATATATCTCAAGATATTATAGATGGCGCTTATTGTAATATATTTTAAAAAATATTATTTATAGATATTATATAAAAAATAAAATGGAACATTCGAATTAATTAATTAATAAATTTGATGTGATTATTTTGATATTAAAATAACTAATAAGTAGTCGTAGTAGTTTTATTATAAATGTCGACGAATGGAGAAAATAATTCCTTAAATGGAGATTCAAAAAAATTGGCGGATCTATCTACGATTAAATTTGATAAATTCGATAACTATACATCTATTTCTAGATATATTTCTCAATGGGAAGCCAGTTTTCGGTTAAAAAACGTAAGCCCATCTGAATGTCAATATAAAGATATATTTTTACATTTTTTGGCAATAAGATTATTGAGTTGGTAGACTGTTTTTGTTATCCTGATTCGATCGAAACTTTATCTTTTAAGGAAATTAAGTCAATATGTTTTAAATTATTTAAACCGACGTCAACAGCTTTTGCTTCTAAATTTGATTTCGTTAGATTACTGAGAACAACTGAAACCATAACTAAATTTGCAGATAAAATTAGAACAATTGGCAAGCGTTGTCATATCTTAATATCTTAATGGTATTGACGAGCGTTTACGTGTACAGTTTATGGTTGGCATGGAAATACCGGGATTGGAAAGAGATCTTAGAGCTCTATATCCCGACCGTCTTGATAGAGATAATAATGTATTGACTTTCCAATTTATTTTTGATCTGGAATTAGCTTCAGAGCGAGCAGGTAAAGATATGGCAAATAAAAATATGTCTGTTGTTAATAAGATACATGATAATAACAAAAGAAATAATATTAATTATAAACTTCCAATTAAAACGACTGCATTTTATAAAGGCAGTGGCGTCGCTAGGGGGCGCAGGGGCTCGAGCCCCCTGAAAAGTTTGAATAGCCCCATGAAGCAAAAATTTTTATTTAATGGCTCCTTAATATCCCCTTGAGCTAAAAATAAATGTTTTTAATTGCCCTCTAAGTAATTTATTTTATAATTCTATTGAGTAATATTTAGATTTAATTTTATTAAAAAATTAATATGACTATCTTAATTTTTATTAAATGAATACTATTTTAATTATTAGATTAGATTATTACATATAAATTATACTATGTCAGCTTGCAATCAAATTCTATGTTAAAGATATAACAATATCACTCACTAAATATTAATTTAGCATTAACAGTTAAAGCTTAATTGACTTTTATTATTTAAATTATTATATAACCCTAATAAATATAATTATTTATTAATTGAAAATTAATAATTTAATATTTTAGCCGAGAATCACTAATCAACTATATTATTGATTTTTAAATTTAATTATCATGTCTCTTCCTAAAATTATTTTCAAGGTCCAAATCCAAATAAGTATAAGAGATTTATATATAAAAAGTAAGTAGACATATAGTTTATAATCCTCTATTATATATATTTTTTATAAAATATTAGGTAAAATGCCACTTTTACAGACGTATCTGACAGATATATAATATATTACAATTATTATTTTAAAATTCTACTAATAAATGCTTTTGATAATAAATATAAGTAACAATTTGCTTACTAATATTTAACGCCATCTATTTATTTTTTAATATAATTAAAATTAAGCGTATTATTATTCATCCCACAATGGATGTAATAAATTAGATATCTATTATTCTCTTTTTTACGTGTTTTTAGGAAGCTATTTTTTTCTTCTTAAATTTTTAATACGAATATATTTTTAATATTATTACAAACTACTATTATTTTAAGATATAATATACCAACTAGAGATGGTGCGACAATAATATATAAAATCTTAATTGCTTTCATAATATCACTCTGGTTCTTATTTTGTAGTTACAAAATGTTTCATTTCTAATATAGCATTTTTGCCATGTAAATAACTCAAGGCTTCAATATATTTGCATAATTTCTTCTAAAGGTTTTTAGTGTTTTTGTTTTATCAATTTATCTAACAGAATAGATTCTGATATGGGTTACCATCGTGAGTGTCATGGCTAGGACTGCAAATTAACCAGCATCTATTATTTGTGTGGTTATGTAATTTAAGATTATTACTACAGCTGCTGAGAGCATATGATCGCATATTTTAGATAAGCAATAATGGTCAACTGTGTAGTCGTTTATATATCATTAAAAATGGAAGATAATCTTTTAGAAATTTAATATCATACAATAATTTTCTCGATTACTTATCTAGCTTCCATCATGTCATCTAAGAGTAAGTTCTAACCACCATATAGTTTTATGATTTGGATTGGTGGTTTATATTCTCTTCTTCAAGAATTGTTTATTTGGTAAGGTCTATAAATTTTTTATTATTAGTCCATTCTATAAAACATTGTCTAAAATGGTAATAGAGAGTTATATTAGTTTCATGACCTTTTGTCAATGTAAGTTGCTAATATTATATTATATTATGTAGTTTTTAAAAACCATTATTGATTGAGGCATATTTTTATGAATTAATTAACCTTTTTTATCATTTATAATTCTTTAGACGCAAAATTTTTTTATATCAACAATCGAAAATATTTTATACTGTAATAAATAGCTTTTGTATTAAAAATTATTATTTTAGAAATGTCTTGTATTATTTTAATGATTTATATGCTAGTTTATTTTGCATGCAAAATATAATAAATGACATTCAGAATAATTATTTAGAGTTAGTAAATTATAAACGCCCCCCATAAAAATTTTTTAGTTGAGCCTCCTGAGATTGTAAAGGCTAGCGACGCCCCGGGATATAGGGCTATAATAAAGTCAAGTATATACATTTGATAAAGTAATAAATACAAATATAATAATGATAAAGATTACAATAAACTTAAATGTTATAAATGTGGTTTTATTCATAACCGAGAAGTGAGATGTCCAGCTACAAATGCAGCATATAATAAATGTAAAAAAATTGGACATTTTGCAGTTTGCTGTAAATCAAAGAATTTAAATTATATAAGAGTGTCATCAAGTGATTCTATTCATTAATATAGAGAAGATTCAACAAAATCGAGAGAATCGAGCAAAACTAACTGCAGAGATAAATGGGTTAGATGTTGAATTTGATTTTGACACTGGTGCACAAGCGTCATTGATAGGAATTGATATATGGACAAGTATTGGACGACCAAAAATTAGGCCAACCAGTCTATTGACTGCATATGATGATCATCCGTTAGACGTTAAGGGCGAGACCCAAGTCAATGTTAAGATTGGATCACAGACAAGGACCTTACCAGTGGTTAAAGAATACAACTGGGGTGCCTCTTTCCCATGGATTATAGCCAATTTAGAAATGCCTCGTCAGGAAACAAGTACGCAATTTGATCAACACTATTGAAAAATAAAAATGTTGCATAACACTAGATTCTAAAATTCGAGATTTGATTAATAACACTGTGTGACAAGAAAAATGGGAGAAGAAAATAAAAACTTTGGTGCAGAATTTGACGCTGAGTTCGAATCCGTTTTCCAAATTTTCCCTACACGTCAAGTTTTTAAAATATTACTGTATAAAGACAACTTTTCGAAATCTCAAAAATGGTAAAATTTAGGTCTTTATACGGATATATTTTAAAAAGTATCGAATAAAAATCTCTGAAAATTGGTGATAGTGTTAAACTTATATTTCTTTATAAATTTTTTAATTTTTATAATTTTTTAACGATTGGTTTTTGAGATAAATGGTAAAGAATTTCGTTTTGGGGGTCTTAAGTTTTGAATTTAAATTACTATCAAAATTATTAACTTTAGAAGATAAATTTTATATAATTTTGCTTCAAATATGCTCAAGATTATATATTAATTCTAATTATATTTCAAAAGTACTCTATGCCATGAAAATTCAACCAAAATCTATAAATTAAAAAAGTCGACGTACAGATATTTTCGAACTTTTTAATTTGTACACTTTTATTGAATTTTCTCTGCATAAAGCATTTTTGAAGCAAAATTAAGGTAATATTTATTCTTTTTAGTTGTATTTAGTAATATTTTATGCATTTATGATCAATTTATACCAAAATCAGATATCTGTACCCACTTTTTTAATTTCTACTTTTTTTGAATTGAGCATTTTCGAAGCAAAATTTATTTAAAATGCAATAATTGGTATTTTCATATTTTTTATTAATATTTATCTTTTTTAGATGTATTTAAGAATATTTGTTTTTTTAATCAATTTATATCAAAATATATGATTTTCCAATGGAGTACATTGAACCCGTAGTATGGGCAATAAATAATAATGCTAAATAACGAGTAGGAAGAAAGGATAATTTTTTTTTCGCGCTTAATTTTTCATAAACATTTAATTTCTTTCATTAATTTTTTTTGAGAACGAAAGCCACAATAAATAAATATATTAAATGTAAGCTATATTAAAAAATAAATAAAGGTAAATTTAAAAAATATAGGTTGTTTAAAAATTGAGTAAGAACTTTATAAAAAAAATGTATAATGATAATAAGGAAGGTTTGCTGCAAAAATTAAGATATTTTTTTAGTTGTAGGGATCATTAGAACCGAAGTTATAAACCTTCAAAAAGTGCTAAAAATGACATTTTTGGCCACTTTAACCTAAAATAAATAAAAAACCTGACGTGCTAGAAAAAAACTGACAGCGGATTTAGAATATGCATAAAAAACTGTCTTAAAACATGTTTATTTTATTTTCTCTCAAAAAATCAAGTCGAAACACAGTGTAATCAAGAAATTTTTGATGATAAGATGGGACATATACGTGATTTTGCAGTGCGAATATATTTAAAGGATACCGCTGTACCGAGATCGTTTCCAGCCCGTGGGCTACAATTTCCACTTCGCAAAGCAATTGAAATGGAATTAGACCGATTAGTGGCTGCAGGAATTATTGAAAAGATTGATTCGACTATACCTAGGGTACAGTGGTCAACGCCAACCGTAAATGTAGGCAAGAGTAATGGCGATATTCGAATTTGTGCTGATTTCAATGTTACACTCAGTCCAAGTTTATTGTATGACCCTCATGTTATTCCTACTTTAGACGATTTGTTAGAGAAAATCTAAGGTGGTGATAAATTTACCGTGATAGCTCTGAAAGATGCGTATTTACAGATGGAAGTAGATTCGGAATCTCAGGAATTACTAACGATAGTGACTCATAAGGACTATTTCGGTTATCGACGATTGCTGGATTGGCAAGTGCACCTACTATATTCCAAAGATATATGGATGAGTTGCTAAAAGATTGCCAAATGACTGGTGTCTACTTAGATGACGTAATTATTTCTGGTCGAAATGATGATGAGCACATAAATAATTTGCGAATAGTTATAGACAGATTACAGACAGCAGGTCTTAAGGCGAAATTGACAAAAGTGAGATTTCTACAAAAATCGGTTTCATTTTTAGGGGTGATTATTGATAAATTCGGTATACATCCTAATCCAGAAAAGGTGAAGGCTATCCGAAATGCACCAAAATCTAAAAATATACAACAACTTAGATCTTTTCTAGGACTCATGAATTAACATGAACGTTTTATTCGTAATCTACATTGTAAAGCGGCGCTATTACATAGATTAACGAGCGTGAAAGTACCTTGGCGGTGGTCGAAAGATGAACAAAATTCCTTCGATGAGGTTAATAAATTATTGTCATCGGAGGAAACGTTAATTCCTTATAATGCGCAGTTGCCTATAATTTTGGAATGCGACGCATCTGATTCAGGATTAGGGGCTGTGTTGCTACATCAATTTGTAGACGGAAGGACAAAACTATTTCGTTCGCGTCACGTACTTTATTAGAATCAGAGAAACACTACGCTCTGATTGATAAAGAAGCTCGAGCACTTTTATTTGGTATTGAAAATTTTCATTCATTTATTTATGGTAGAAAATTTATTACTTCAAACCAGTGGCGAAGCTAGGAATTTTCCTTAGAGGGGGTCCACATAGACCCCCTTTAACGGGCCTTCAGGCCTTTTGCTCCGGCCTTCGGCCGGGTTTATCTTAAAAATCATGTTGGTTTTTCTTATAATATAAAAGTCCTAGAATTATTAATTATTTTAATTAGTGTTGTTAAACGGCTCGACTTGAGCTGATTTTTATAAACAGCTAACTCAATATTTTTGCCAAAAAATATTAAAGCCTAGAGATTTCTTGAATAATATAAAACTTGTATCTCCATGAGCAAAATTTTCTGGCTAATATATTGAGTTAGCCATATCGGCTAAAATTGAGCCATTAACCACTAATTTTAATTAAAATAACACATTGACATAATTTTAATTAAAATAACACATTGACACAATTTGAGCAAAATTTTCTGGCTAATATATTGAGTTAGCCATATCGGCTAAAATTGAGCCATTAACCACTAATTTTAATTAAAATAACACATTGACATAATTTTAATTAAAATAACACATTACAAATTTTATTGATATACGTTTCATTTTATTATACTTTTAGAAGTTATTTACAAATAAAAAGCGATTATTTAAAATATAAATATTATATTGATTTAATTATAAATATTATATTGCTTTAATTATAAATATTATATAGCTTTAATTATAAATATTATATTGCTTTAATTATAAATATTATATTGCCTTAATTATAAATATTAGTATTACACATATAAATTGCTTTATTATAAATATTATATTGCCTTAATTATAAATGATATATTTTATAATTAGTAAACACATTAAAAATATAGATTAAAAAATAAATGTTTTTTTTAAACTGTAAATTTAAGTCGATATCCTTCAAAGTGAAAAAATCAAAATTGTGTTGGCAAAATTTTTTTACCAATATATGATAGATGTTTAAAATTAATATTGAGAAACCTAGGCTAATAATCATAGATGACATGTTAGCTTTGGAACCAACTTTTGATTATTATAAGTATAAAGTAATGGACTATATCACTTGTATTAGGTGATGGTTCTAAATGATCTAGTATAATTGGTTGTCTATTATTCTTTAGTTTTCTGGAGTATGTGGGAATTGCTAAGATTTTAAATAAATATAATTTAAATAAGACTAATACCTGACATGAGTGGAACTTCATTTCCATTTAAATTCTCCCTAGATTTTTTAGATATATCTAAAATTTTAATGTAAATATTAATAAGTAATTGATTACATTACATTTATTAGATAGTGATTTGTTGTGACTTAGTGTATTTTTTTGTTTGTTATCACTATTTTTTTTACCCCTTGGTGTGAATATTAATTGAGATATTCCTATAAAAATAAATTAAAATAAAACAACATATTAGATAACCTTTAAATTCTAAATTGATACAGCCTATAATATTTTGTTGACTACTATCATTCTTCTTCAATGTGATACTTGATATACCTAAAATTATGATATAAATATTTAAAGGTAATAGTTAACATTACTTTTACTAGGTAGAGATTTGAAGTGATCAAGTGTATTTAGCTTATTTTTATCATAATTTTTTATAGAGTATCTAGGTATTTCTAAAATTTAAATGAATACATTTAAATAAGGTCATATAAGTTCATAAAATACCTGAGGTGAGTGGTAAATTGTTGCTTATGATATCAAGTTCATCATTAAAATTTTGATTTTCTATATTAATTAGTGATTCATTTAAATAAGGTCATTATAAAATACCTGATGTGGGTTAGTAAATTGTTGCTTATGGTATCAAGTTCATCATTAAAATTTTGATTTTCTATATTAATTAGTGATTTGGTGTGTTCATTTTGTTGACTATCATCATTTTTATAAAATGTAATACTTGATATATCTAAATCTATAATAAAAAATATTTAAATCTTAATAGATTATATTACTTGTACTAGGTAGTGATATTTTATATGGTCTTTGGGTATATAAATGAGTGTATCAAGATCATTTTCTTCCCTCCTACGTTTGGGTATATCTTATAAATGTCAAAATATTTTGGTTAGCCAAAATTATTAAAAATAATAAATTACCCAAAGTGGTTTGTACTGGCAATTTTAATTTAGTTAAAACTATGACTAGGTGTTTAATTTTAAATTCTAAAATAAAAATAGTTAGCTATTAATTTTAAATATTTTTTATATTAAATGTTATTTTGACCTGGTGTATTTACATCATTCTTATTATTTTCAATAGAGCCTATAATGCATAAGATATTAAATAGTACACTGGATTAAATATTTTTTAACCTCAAAAGCATGATAAAGTAGATTATGCACTATTTTATTTCATATTATTATTTTCGAACCATATCTTCGATAAATTATAATAAATATTTTTTTAAATATGCATAAATAATATATTATTATAATTTATTAGATTATTATCAATGACTTTAAAATAATATACAGAATAATTTTTATATATATAAAAGTAATAATATCCTTCCACAAACATCAAAACCAGAAAAATATAAATATTCATGGTATTTATTTGATATAAAGTCACTTTTGAGTCTTTTGAACGAATAATCTAAAAAAAAATTGCTCTGAGGGGGGGGCAGATTATGCACTTTTTTATTTCATATTATTATTTTCGAACCATATCTTGGATAATTTATAATAAATATTTTTTTAAATATGCATAAATAATATATTATTATAATTTATTAGATTATTATCAATGACTTTAAAATAATATACAGAATAATTTTTATATATATAAAAGTAATAATATCCTTCCACAAACATCAAAACCAGAAAAATATAAATATTCATGGTATTTATTTGATATAAAGTCACTTTTGAATCTTTTGAACGAATAATCTAAAAAAATTGCTCTGAGGGGGGGGGGGGGAGGGGTAGATTATGCACTTTTTTATTTCATATTATTATTTTCGAACCATATCTTGGATAATTTATAATAAATATTTTTTTAAAAATGCATCAATAATATATTATTAAAATTAATAGATTATTATCAATGACTTTAAAATAATATACAGAATAATTTATATATATATATTTTAAATTAAAAGTAATAATATCCTTCCACAAACATCAAAACCAGAAAAATATAAATATTCATGGTATTTATTTGATATAAAGTCAACTTTTGAGTCTTTTAAACGAATATTCTAAAAAAAAAATTAATTGCTCTGGGGGGGGGGGGTCCAAACCCGAAACCCCCCCGTAGCTACGCCACTGCTTCAAACTGGTCATAAACCATTAGAGCGATTATTTGGGGAGAAACGCGATTTACCTAAAATTTCTAATAATCGTTTGATAGTTGGGCCTGGAAAATGGCTTCTTATGATTTTACAATAGAATATAGATATGGTAATAAAAATGTAATCGCCGACGCATTATCAAGGCTTCCGATATTAAACACAGAAGAGAATCAAGATTCTAAACATGCCTTGGATATTCGAAGTTTTAATTTGGATGATAAGCAATTGAAAAAAAATATTATACGAAAAGAGTCGAAGCAAGATTTAATATTTAAAAAAGTAGCAATACATATTCAGCAAAGTTGGCGAAACTTTGATCGTCATAAAGATAAAAAAATAGTTAATTTTTATAATCGATGGGAAGAGCTTTCTGTCGATCGTGATATTATAGAATAGAATGGGAGATTGGTTATTCCTAATAAATTAAGAAATGCAGTGTTAGGAATGATTCACCGGGGATATCCTGGGGAAAATATAATGAAATCTTTTTAGATTGTTTTGTTGGTGCCCCAGATGTGATGTTGATATAAAATTTTTTATCATAATAGGCTCTGGATTCCAAAAAAATAGACCTAGTATTCAATAAGTACCTCTATATTCTTGGACTGTTGGTAAGGAATCTTGGGAGCGAATCTATATTGATTTTGCTGGACCAGTAGATTCGCGATATGGGCTTATTGGTGTCGATTCCTACCCCAAATGGTTAGAAGTTGATCTAATGCAGAAAACCTCTGCTGATGCTATGATAAAACGACTAAAAAAATGGTTTGCTAGGTTTGGAATACCCAAGTACATTGTGTCAAACAATGGACCACATTTCTTATCTGGGGAGTTCCATAGGTATTGTGATTTAAATAACATACGTCATATACGTTCGGTACCCTATCAT